GCCCAATGCCGACCTGGGTCAGATTGGGATGTATATATATATATATAGATCATTGAAGCATCAATCAAACGCCGAGCTTTCGACAGTGACTTGTTGATAGCACAACCTTCCTTTAATCTGTCCCCGCTTGCACCTGTTTGTCCGGCCTGGAAGACAATCAAATGGTAATAGCTCATCTGACCAGTTTCTTGCAAGCTAAATCAGTACAAGCTTGGCGCTGCACCTTCTCACTCCCAGCCAAATCCACCAAATTGATCAAGGACAACTTTTGGCCTTGCTGGCCACCTGCCTCATGAGCACTCCCGGCAGTAACACTCCTGCGTTAGTGGCATTCCCTGCCTGTGAGACTTGCTTAAACTCAATTGTCAGGACTGTGTGGGCCTGAGAAGCTGAAACTAATGTACCCATTCAACGTCGGCACAAACACGCTGAGCCCTAAATTCTCGTCAAGTGGGATCTCTTTCTGTCAAACAGAGAACCAAGAATGATTGTCAGCACAGATGAGTCAAACAGCGACAAAGAAGATTCAGTATGCACAGGCCCTTACTGCAGAACTGATTGAAGGGTTCGCTCATGTTCACTTCAGAGAGGTTGCTGCACAGACTAAAGAGGATGACGATGGATGACAACTACCTGTATCCTCCACCGCTTTTCAGTGCTTAAAAAAGTGCTAGAAAAAGTAAGGACAAAAGGATATCTGAGAGGCTGAGAGACATTTCTACATTGTCCTTTCTTAAATGGCCTTGGCAAACTGCAGAATCATAAGCTTTCAGCAACAGAGTAATTACCATCCAATAACAGTTTTAAAGGGTTAAAAGGAAACATATCGAGTTCCTGGGCCTTATTGCTTGAGCTATCCCCCAAATGATGTCATGAGATGTCATGTCTACCTGACGAGGACCCTGTTTGTCCAGCCGAAGCCAGAAAAAAGACTAAGTCAGCAGCTCGACTTGAGGTGGCATTCATCCTCAATCAAGCAATTCATAATTGTTGCTCTTCATGGGGGAATGGAGTTCAGCTCACACAACAGATTCCAACGAGTCTTCACAATTTGTCCAATCGCCGAGATTCAAGGTGGCACCCACAGTCCGGTTTTCCGTCCCTTCCTCGACAACGGCCTGGCATGCTTGAGCTTGAATGACTATTCAAACGATCAACATACGTGTCCTGGTGGTCATTGTGCCTCAATCGAAGCGTATGAATCCACCGGTCGCCGCGAAACGCCACCGATGTAGATTCCGAGCCTCAGCGACAGGACTTTCTGTGGTCTTTTCTAAAAGCTTGAAATGAAGGTTCCTAGTAGCTGCTCGTTACTAGCAAGGCCAGGAGCTTCTAGTAGCGTCCTTGCTCCTAGTAGCGATGCCCTTTGTTCCTAGTAACTTCTTCTTACTAGTAACTTATGCAGCTATCCCAAGAGAGGGACTGTTGTGACTCGCGAATTTCGAGACCTAAGTTCGCAGAGGCAAAAGAATCAGCAGCCGTAGCAAGCAGCAACAACAACAACAAACAAAAGACTGGAGACAATTCAACACGCCAAGCAGGTTGCATCCTTGGATCCTCTACAAGTGGGAACCATGTTGAGCCTACATTTCGCTGCTTCACCTACATGTGGGGAGAATCCATGGGTGTACTCATCCACCTCAGGGGGGATCCACTAAAGGCCTTCGCGTAAAGTGCATCAAAGCAGCCCTTCTTTGGTCGATCTTTTGGAGGGACAAGCAGGTCCTCGAACCGACAAACCATTTCAGCCTGCAACCGAGTGTACGGACCCCACCAGCCTGAACCTGCTCATTGTAGATTTCCACCATTGACCTCTTTCACGGACGGTGTGTGCACTGTGCTGCTGATAACATTCCGTGACTAGCATCACTCCAGCCAAGTCACACCATAACTTCATATGTCAGGTTTGAGTCAGTGTTGGCCTTGGCAGCGACCAAGATCAAATGGTTCGAACACCTCACCTACAGTCTAAGAGAATGACGGATATTCTCTTGAAGATCTCTTCGCATGAAATCGGCACGATGCCCTGCAATTCCCGAGCTCTGGGGAAAATCAATTAGATCGAGTTTTTCACATGGCAAAGCACGGGCACTCCTTGTTGGCACCGTAGCCGACCATGGAATAACTCTTGCCAGCGCCGGTTTGGCCTGCAGCGAACAGTGGTCTGCCACAGCTGCCATACACAGCTCCAAAGCAACTTTGGGTGGTTTCGGAGTCGTTCCAGACTTGTTACAGTAACGTCTTGTGCAGCGTAAGCTTATGTGCTTGGCATGACATATTTGGGTAGGTGACAGTCACTCTGAAAGCTTAAACGAATCAAAAAGAAGCAGAGCTCATGAGCTCAAGGAATAAGATATACAAAACAACTTCAATAATGCAAAATTCATACTTGAAAGAATACCTTCAGAAAGCTGGGTGCGCTGTGATTTGTAACTCGTCACATGCTTGGATTGAGGCCATACGCGAAGAGGCAGCAATGATACCCTTCCCAAGCCTCAAGTTCTATATCGAGCAGCTGAATCAAAGACCTCTCAGAATATTCTTTGACTAGCTGTAGCCGTTCACAAACCTGAGCTAAGTTCGCTGTCCAAAATCCGGCGTCCAAAGGTCTCGAAGACCGTCCTTTGATCAGCATACCTGACAGAGGGGCCACGCTTACCTGGCCATGCCGAGTTGGCACACGAATGGCCTGCTCCCAGGTGCTGCGGAACAATATCCGTCACCACCAACTTCGAAACCATCATGGCCTTGAATTGAAAAAATGTGTTCAGTCCGGTTCCGACCGAATTGCAAATTCAAAGTCCAAAGATCCGCACTCCAAAAGGAAGCATCAAATGTAAACCGCTTTGCTTCCTCCGAAAGCAAGTGTGACGTGGCTGCAACTCGGACAGGTTGGAGACGCAGAACTTTGACAAAGCTGGCACAACTCCTTCGCACTACCCCTGGCCTTCCCCTTTCCAGACTCGATTGCCATTTCTGGCGGGTTCTGAAGAATGGTGGTTGGCCCGTCCACGTCCACACATAGCTGGCCGAAAGCATCGTGAGACACATCGATATTCAGCTGCTAAAGCTGCACATTCAGGTTCAATATAAATCATGAAAATCTTCTTGCTAGCCTGAGCGTTGAGTGCCTTCTCTCTGTCATTGAAAGGGCGGATTCGCACACCAACAACAACCGAGCACTCCTGCACATCTCTCAAAGCCACGGCAAATATTAAGCAAAGACAGTGTGCGAAACGACAAAACGCAAAGACCAAGTTCTGATGAAAAGTCTTTTGTCAAGTCCCTCACTCACGCAACTTTGGGGGTTAATGTTGAGGACCGAAGTACAGTATATAATTGTATGGTTGACTGATGTGACATGGATCAGGGTACTTCAGCGACGAAACCCTGTCAAGTGAGTTGGGGCAAGAAAGTGTGGCGAAGATGAACTGGCATGCGTCGATGTGCGTAACTCAATAAAGATAGAGCCCCTTGTGGTTCAGCGGAGATCAAGTGAGAGATGAATTGAAGGGAAATACAAAAGGGAAACGAAGAAGCCGGGCGATAGCGATCTACAGTATATAATCTCCCAAGCTGGAGTTGAATCCCCCTCCATCTGCGGGAGGGGGGAGTGGAAGGGTCGCGGTGTCATGGCCTGAAAATCAGGGAATTGGACCCAGAGTTCACAATCCTTGCTAAAGCAATAAAGACTCCAGTTCGCAAGTGTTAGCAACGCCTTGCTTTCGGGACTTCGACAAAACCATGACTCATGACTCGTGACTTTAAAAGTTGGGCGCATCAATGAATAGATCATGTAGTGCTATATATATATATATATGTATCCTTTCTGTCCATGTGGGGAGTCCTCTGCCATCTTTGCAGCCTCCACTGAGCACCTGATCCAGCATGCCATGTTCAGGAATCTGACACCGAACAAGTCAGGACACTGCTATTGCATGCAAGGTGCAATCAAGAATGTTCCCACCGCATCTTTGATGCTCTGGGGAGCTGGATAGCCGGATTTGAGCCAAGGGCAGTGCACAAATTGAATTGTCGCACGATTGCTCACTTTGCTGAAAATAGTGTCCCTCCCATCTTGCCTTTTCAAACATAATATGTTCAATATGGCGAGCACAACCCAAAGCCTGACATTGTCATGCCCATGCTACTACAGTAACTGCAACACAACATGTTTTCAGAGGCCACGTTCTTCTTTCCAGGCATAAAACACGGGCTTCAAGCGGGTCCTTGGTAGTTTGCAGCGGAGGCAATTGAACAAAACCCCCGCTGCCTGATGTTCAAGTGGGTCTAGAGTCTAGAATACCTTGCATAAATGAAATCCAGGTGGACATCCTGAATCAAGGGTTATTTGTACCCCTCTCAAGACTGTTGGCTCAAATCCCAAGATAAATTTATGTGGAGGGGTGTCCAAAACCATCTCTGGCATTTGAGCCAAGCTTTCTGATGACGATATAGCAGTAATCGTCTCCGGGATTCAGGCTGAAATGCAACCCAGTCAACCATCCTGAGCGGTTTTGTGCAAGTTCAGCCAGCTGTTTACATGAGTGCTGCGCTGACTGCTGTGGCACTGGCTGCTCTTGACTGCGCCAAGAAATGGCATCAACCTACAGCTGAAGTTCAACAAGGGTTTCTCGGTAGCCCTAGCCAGTAACATGTTATATACTGTAATGAATACAGCAGAACATGTCGCGTCTGGATCTGTATTAGAGTCACTTGTTGCAAGCAGCTCACTTTGCTTCCACAATGCATGGTTCTTGTCCTTCAGATTTGAATTCATTGTGGAGTTGCCCTTTCTAAATTCTGCCTCAGCTGAAAGCCGACGAAGCTCAGCAGGGGTTGACTGGGGCCTCAGAGCCAGAGAGCAACCCAGCGGTCAAGTGAAAGGAGCGCTGCGGTCAAGCCAAACGATGTGCAACACGCAGTTGCCACATGAGGAGAATTTCTGACTCACAACCGATTGGATGTGAAGAGCCATCAAACAATCACGAGAAGTGACTCACGGTAGGCATGAAACAACAACATTTAAAACAACATCCTGAGTCTCCACATGTCCTTGCGCTCTGCAACCGGAGGCGGTCGACAAATCACGACCTAGTTGTGGCTGGTGATAATTGTGCAAGACTTCTGGCAGCTAGCACGTGATGCATCGGCACATGCCCGCCCTTCTCGGCTTCTTGCCCAGTCATCCAGGTCAGGTCTTTTGAACTCCTGTCCAGTCTTCATTCATCCAACAAAGCACAGCAACTTCCGTTAGGTCGATCCCTGGTTTCCACTCCTTGAGTTCATGGATTTCAATCTCATAGCCCTGGACATCAATGTAGTTCAAAAACAACCTTGGTGACAACGCGAACATCAAACGGCAGGGTTCACCTGCAATGCGCGATGGACATCGAACGGCGGGCCATAGTGAAAAATGACTGGATCTCCAGGCGGTGCTCCAGGGTACAAGACATTGTCCGCAAAGACCAGCGCCTGGGAAGACGACGGACTTGGATGGAGAAGAAAAAGCAGACTCGGAGCCCCACATGTTCCGACAAGCTCGGCTCTGCAGCATGAAGGTCCTTAGCTGCCAAAGGCTAGCGCAAACACAAGAGTCTGATCATCAGGCCTCGTGGTAGATCGTCCCTCGGTGATCCTGCTTGTTGTGCGGCTTTCATGCAATTCTAGCGGTCAGAAGGTACAAAGGTAAAAGAGGAACTTAAAGAGAAGGAAACCGAACCAGGCTCGCAGCAATAAAGAAACAAAGCCCGGTCCAGCAACAGGAAATCAATTGTACCAAGCTGTCCCGTGGCCACCCAATCACAGGCACACCTGCCAGTGGCACCGATGAGTTGACCTAAAAAATGTCCTCTAAACCGTCTAAACCCTAACTAAACCCTAACAGGCACCTAAAAGCGATGGCCTCCAACCTAATAGCGATGGCCTGCAAACAGGCCAGGGGCACCCCACCCTCACCTGCACCTCACCCTCCACGCCAGCGAATTGCAGTACCCCACCTTGGCTCAATCCATGTAGAAACGCTGCTGAAGCCAACTCACATCACTTGACTGCTAAGGCCGCTGCGTGCCACGTAGGCATTGGCTGCATCCACCTCGCAGGTGGTCACCTCAGCTCCCCAAGAACCTCCGCAGATCTCTGCAGCACCCCACTTTTGAGGCCACCACGCTACCTCCGCCAAGCTCCCGAAGTTTTTTGGCCATGACCATCGAGGAGTAGCCCACATAACCTCAGAGGAGTTGCCCCTGTGGATAGAAATGATGGGAAAAGGAATGCATTGCACGTCTGCGCATTGAACATGTTGAACACACAAGAAAGCCCACTAGTCGCCAGTCTCCTCCTCAGGAGCTGGCAGCCAAACTCCACCACCCTATCCTCCGGTCTCAAACTGGCCTGTGTCAGACAAGGAGCACAGGGCATCCACAGTTCCTGTGTTTTGGATCGGGCAGGCAACAAACGGCGGCCACAACGGCGGTCACTGGCCTCCAGTAGTTCCTTCTTTTGCTCTCCCTGAATCTTCAACCAGCTGCGCTCCTCGCTGCGATGTTATGTCGAGAGGCGGAAATACAAAGAAACCGGTCTTCGGAGTATGTAAAGCAAAAAGCAGAACAGCCTGAACGTGCAGGTTCGTCACTCCTCTGCAAACTCTTCGATGACCTATTCACTATAGAGCGAGTCATCACTTCACTCCACAAATGCTGCGTTTGCTTCGTCTCGTAGTGATACTTGTTCAACAAGTTAGCAACACTCAACGTCGGAAACTGTTCTTCAGAAACTAATCTTCGGAAACTAAGGTACATACCGTAGCCGTCACACCCACCCACCCACACCCACACCCACCCACCCACACCCACCCACCCACACCCACACCCACACCCACACCCACCCACCCACCCAGCCAGTGCTCCTTCAAGCAATTTGTTCACAATAGTGTAAAAGTTCTGAAGAATACTTTTTGAAGCATGCGAATAAGTTTCTTAAGATCACGAAATAGCTTCTGAAGATCGCAAAATAGCTTCTGAAGATCGCGAAATAGTTTCTGAAGATCGCGAAAGATTCTGAAGATCGCGAACTAGTTCCTGAAGATCGCGAAATAGTTTCTGAAGAATAGTTTTTGAAGAGTAGTTGCGGAAGAGTCCAAATAGTTGTGGAAGAAAAGTTTCAGGAGAATGGAGAGTTGCGGAATAGGACTTTGTTCCACTCAACGCGAGACTGCCAAAAACAGCTACTAAAGAGTCCGCACGTGTGTGATTGTTTTTGTGATTGGTGATGGATCGTCAGCTACGTTTACAAACTCTGTGGGTTTTCTGCCAAAAACGTTTACAAGTCTTGGGTTCTCTCGGTTTTCTCGGTCTGCCTGAATCACCGACGCAACGTCTCCCGGAGTCGCACGCTGCCTGATCCAGAGGCAGGAATGCGAATCAAAAGCGTAAACCTCGCCTTGGGAAAGGAAGAAAAAGAATCACGGAAAAAGGCCTATCCAAAATGCTCCGACAAGTGCGAAAGAAAGCCGAATCACCTGATCCATTTATAGAGGCTTACTTCCTTGGGCGCCATGGGCCTGGCTTCAGTGCGAAGGAAATCAGACTTTTTTTGGCATTCCATACACCTCACATACAACACACATATATATATATATATATATGCATAAAATTCATTCCTAAAATTCATGGAATCTACCTTCACAGCGCCTGAGGGCTCCAAGGGGGACGGGGCTCCGCACCTGGGCATGAAAAGACCGTTTCTTGGTGGGCCTGGGCGGCCTAGTCTCTAGTCTCTTCACAAGGCATTCATAGCAAGGTATTGAGAGCTTCTAGGAGCTTCTGAGAGCTTGAAGGAAGCTGTTAAGTAAGAGGTATTGGAAGGCCAAAAACTAGGCTCTTTTAGGCATCGTAACTGATGATAGTTAAGTCAAACACCTGCGGCTTTTTGCAAGCTGCCACAAGTAACAAGTATCACAGAAGCTCCATGAATGCATTATGGTCTTTCAAGACATCTACAGACCCCAGACAACCCAGCCAATTTTGATGCGTAAATGAAACTAGTAGGACTGATTTCCATGTCCCATACACAACCTGTTTCACCTGCAAGGTGTGCACGCTGAAATCATGATTCACGATGGTTGAATGACTCGAGGGTTGATGGGGCTCCCCTCGCGTCTTGTAACTGTTGCAGTAACTGGCTGCTGCCGGAACAAGAATGAAATCTGAAATAATTTCACAATAGCTATACAGGTGAGTAGGTTTGAGCGGGTTGGTTTTAGTTGCAACAAACACGAAAGTCTGTTCCAAACATACTGCACCTCCGGAAAGTCCACCGACAGCGTTGCCTCACTCAACACCTGAAAAAGGACACCACAACAACGTTATTTTCAGGCAGAAAAACTACCCACGAATCAAAAAGGATTCGAAGATCGCTGTGAATTAGTTGCACAACTATGAAAGACTTCTGATTGGCCGCCTCAGCTACATTGGAGTTCATCTTTTTCAGCCGCCTGAACTGAGCAGTGTCAAGCCCACGCTCATGGACTCTCTGAGAAGCTTCTCGTTACTAGTAGCTTCTTGTTACTAGTAGTAATGCTCTTTGCTACTAGCGATGCATGTTGTTACTAGTAGCTTCTCTGAGCTTTTCACATCTCGCTGATGATCTCATTGGTGGTGTCAGTGTTCCTGAAGAAAAAGATGCCGCAAGACTCCAGGACCATGACGACATGCAACATTGGTTGACACCATACCTTGTTGAGTATGTTCCAACAATACTGTCTAGTGTAGATTGCATGGTCTTCATGCAAATGCCTGTCGCTTGTACGCTTAAGGCTGGGTAACAGCTAACAGAGTCCTTCCATCTCGGCATGCTTGCGCGGCGCAGGCCAAGGCCACAGCGTCAGCTTCCACCTGCTCAGGCTCTCTGTCCCGAATGCTGTGCTGGTCTTCACTTTGCGACAAGACATGAAAAAGAAGCGTGTGGAGGCCTTGTGATAGCCATGTTCAGT